AACTTCACACAAAGGATTAAGAATAAACAGCAGCCTTTGTGCCTATTCAGCTGCAGAACTGATTGGATTATTGTGTGCTTGTAGCAGATGTAGCAATAGAAATGAGTAGCATTATGTAACTCCACAAACAACAGAGATGACATCTACTGAGTGGTGATGGGTAGTGCTTGTGTATCTCGTGTTTTGCTTACATGTATAACCTCAGATCACTTACTGGGGGCAAAAATATCAGGAAAATAAAGACTGTCCACAGTCTTTGCATTCATTGCACCTTTTTTTTTCTTCTAGGTATCATAGAAGACGCAGGAATCCTAATCCTCCCAAAGACCGATAATTAGGACAACTTGATCGTCAGCACTTTGCTGTTAATCTTTATTAGAAATAAAAATTACAGAAAGTGAGATGTTTGGCTATGACAAAACATGCTTAACTTAATTCTACTGTTTTCTACTTCAACTAGTTGACAGAAAAATGGCACTGATGAGACGTAGTGTCAGTGGAGGCAGTTGTGCATGTGGCTGGTCAGCACGTGGGCCAGTTTTATAATGGAGAACGGCATGTAACAGGCCTTAGAGTGCTCTGATTAAACTTGGTCACAGCCTCATTGTTTATAAAGTGAATCCATACAAGTCTTGTGTCAAAATGGGAAGTCTAGGAATGGGCACATTAGGGTTTGGTGGTTTGCTGGGGGTAATAATTTTTTTTCTTCTTTAGAAATCTAGTAACAGGAATGCAGGTGAGCTTGAATACTGAGGTGTTAATGAAATAGTGTTTATGAAAAATATTGTATGAGGTATTTATGAAAACAACTGAATACTTTTGCTTCTTCTGTTACGCTTGTAAGATACTTGGTTCCAGTCTCATCTTAAAAACCTCCAGCGATGGAGAATCCACCACCTCCATGGGTAGCCCGTTCTGATGTCTGATTACTCTGTAAAAAATTTCTTCCTAATATCCAACCTAAACGTCCCCTGGCACAGCTTAAGCCTGTGCCTTCTTGTCCTTCTGCTGGTTGCCTGTGAGAAGAGACCTCCTTTCAGGTAGTTGTACACAGTAACAAGACATAGTAACTGGCCCTTCAAAATCACCCAGCGTTCCCAAATACCTGAGAACTTCTGTGTGCATTTGTTTGTTTAATTCCACCCCAGCTACTGCTCAGTGAGGATGCTGTGTTTGTGTATAAATGGGAATAGCCGTAGCTATTCTTTGAATCTGCAAGGTAATCACTGAAGACTCCCAGCTCTTTATAGTTTACTTAGGAGGAAGGATTGACCCTTTATTACATAAAATGCTTTAAATTAAAGAAATTTGGTCTGATTCTACCTCATTGCTTTAGCATTTTGTAGTGCTTAAATGTTCCTGCTTTTGTAATATTCTATGTCATGTAGCAATTTTTCCCTCAGGAAAAGGCAATTCTTTGCTCTGATCTACAGTTTTAGGCATCAGCCTTCTGATAAAAAAGGCTGGCTTGGTAAGTTGTGCCTCAGCAGAGATCCCAGTGACTTCATAAAGCCTTCCCAGCAGATCCTTGTAAATAATTAGAAAATAGTTACTTCTTATATAGGATACATTCTTATAAAGCCTTCCCAGCAGATCCTTGTAAATAATTAGAAAATAGTTACTTCTTATATAGGATACATTCTTATACAGCCTTCCCAGCAGATCCTTGTAAATAATTAGAAAATAGTTACTTCTTATATAGGATACATTCTTATAAAGCCTTCCCAGCAGATCCTTGTAAATAATTAGAAAATAGTTACTTCTTATATAGGATACATTCTTATAAAGCCTTCCCAGCAGATCCTTGTAAATAATTAGAAAATAGTTACTTCTTATATAGGATACATTCTTATAAAGCCTTCCCAGCAGATCCTTGTAAATAATTAGAAAATAGTTACTTCTTATATAGGATACATTCTTATAAAGCCTTCCCAGCAGATCCTTGTAAATAATTAGAAAATAGTTACTTCTTATATAGGATACATTCTTATAAAGCCTTCCCAGCAGATCCTTGTAAATAATTAGAAAATAGTTACTTCTTATATAGGATACATTCTTATTGCATTTCCTTTCCAAAGGAAGTTGGATAACCTTGGAAGGTTTTTGTTTCCTCTGTTAGTTTAGTGCTATTTTGCCAGCATGTTATCTACAGATTTTGTTAGAAGTTGAGTACTGAATGGAGCCTCTAATCGTGGTCATTGTTAGTTTCTAAAGTTATCACTAAATCACCTTTTTTTCCTTGAATGTCCTTAAATTGTGGAAAAAATGCGATGTTGGATGTGTGTAAAAAGACTGCCTTTAAATACTTCTGGAAAATTTTATGCAAAGCTAGTCTAAGTGCATTTTTAAATCTGAATGCCGGGTAGCTGATAATGGTTTTTCATTGCTCTGTTGTGCTTGTAAGATATGAGTCCATGCTTAAGCTGACAGCAGCCCAGTGATTTTGGCTCCATATTAATGATATGTTACATAACAAACATGCTGTCGTGGAGGAAAGTCTGTGCTGTCTATGCAAAGGATGTTTGCAAGCTCAATCACATGAACATAATTGTGGGGATTTTTTGCCTAGAATATAACTTTTAAAATAGTTTGTAGTAATTTCTAGTACAACAAATTTTAGTATTTTCATCAAGTCATGGTGCCTGGCACTTACACTGGCATATAAGTGAGCTTACATCTCATATAGTGTTTTGTTGTGTTCCCCAGCTTAATTGCACTGAGTCCCCTTTATTTTTAGAAAGCTGAGACCTAATTTGTCACCATTTGACTTCACTCCAGTGTAAGAAAAAATATTCTTGGACTAATTTAAACTTTCAATTATTCCCCCCCCCCGCCTTTCTCCAATACTTTTGCTTGTTGCTGCCTAATACTGCTTTACAGAGTCATTTTGCTTTACAGAGACCTTCTGGTATGGCCTTTGTCTATTCTTACCTAACCCTGTTTATGATCAAACATCCACAATCAGTGTAGAAATTCTGGATTTCTCAATGTTTCCCAAACATTTTTGGATGCTTTTCAGGCATTTTGAGGATTAAAAATCTATGATGTCCTTGATTGCTATCTTTAAAGTACTTTCTCTTCTGACCAGTTACTGGAAACTGAGTCTCTAAAACACATATTCGCTACGTGTGCCCTCTGACATTTTGTTATTAATTGATAGCATTGATGTTTTATCCCTGCATTGTGCTGCCTCTTTCAATCTTTCTGTGTTTGTGTCTACTAAGTCTTTTTCTGGGGTCATCTGAAGCATGACAATTAAAATACTACTCTTGCAGTAATTTGAAGCTCTCTTCTTGATTTTCTAGGTATCAAACAACTACATAAAGACAGCTTTGTTTCTCTACACTTGAAAACTTGGAATTCAAAATTCGTCCACTTGATTCTTTTCCCACTTCTATGCAGAAGGAAATCCATTTGAAAGTTAGTTTGGGAATTCTGTTTTCTCTTGCTCTTCTCCCTTGTAATTGAAAACTTAAGTTGCATAAAATTCTCAACGTTAAGTCTGTTCTGGCACTTTGTATCCAATTTTGGGCACTTAGCCATTTAGACTTTGTATCTAGTAGCTATTAAGTGTTCCAGACCATGTTAGTTCATTGCTGTGGATAGTATACAGTTGGGTACGTCTGACTGATTGATTTTTGGTTTTCAAATGTCTCACGAGAAGTCTCCTCAAGCCTTGTTTGCCTGCATACCTTTAGAAAACTGTTTCAGTCAACTATCAAAAACTTTGTCTGTAATTCAGAGAGTCACAGAATTGTTAGGGTTGGAAGGGACCTCTGGAGACTATCCAGTCCAACCTCCCCACCAGGCTGTAGGGTCACCTATAGCAGGTGACACAGGAATGCATCCAGATGGGTTTTGAATGTCTCCAGAGGAGGAGACTTCATGACTTTCCTGGGCAGCCTGTTCCAGTGCTCTAAAACAGAAATTCAGACTGTTTAAATTGCAGTTCGATTTATCCTGATGGCCAGGTGAAAAAAATTATCTTCACTGCCCCTAGTTAGCTCCGAATTAAAACCGGAAAATGCTTTTAAGACAGGCCTTTTCTGTATGCCAATGCTGATGTTCTGCAGATTCTGGGTACCACCACCAGGAGGCAGCCTTGTCCAGGAACGGCGTTGGATCTGTCAGAGACCCTCGAGGACTTGGCTGTGCGGTCAGATTTAACCGAGACGGGCGTGAGCTGCAGTTCTTTACTTAAATTTGTAAGTACTTCAGAGAAAAGAGCTCCCAAGCAGGTCCAAAAGTGTTTGGATTTAAAGGGTCAAAGGTTCTTATGTGGGATTTGCCTGTTTGCTTTGAGTTTTGTACGCTGTCCCAGAGATGTATGTTCATGCTTAACCGAAAAAGCTCCACACTCCCAGTTTGGGAAAAAATGAGTCGACAGTGAAGCATGTGACAAGTGTCGTGTCTTTATGTTTCAGTTCCTCATGACTACAATGGAGGCAGCAGTTACCCACCCACCCCTTCCTCCCTTCCTATCCCTCCAGCTGTTCAGTCCCGTAGAAAAGTTCTCGTCTGTTGCTCTTATATTGGGTCTGAACTTCATCTGTCATGTCCAAATTCTGTTATACCAGAGTAAATCGTTGTGGCAGGTCCATCATAAGTCACAGTACTGACTGCTGTTTAAAGCTAGCACTGCGTTTCTCAGTTACTGCAGTCTTTATGAATTTTGGCTGCTGCTTTGCTGTAATTTCTCATGTGCTCATTCCTTCCTTAAAACCAATACAAAGTTATAAGAGACAAAATAGTTGTAGACTGCATTCCTCAACTGTAATAGGGGATGTATATTTTATTTTAATGCTACAATTTAGTAAGTGACTTAAAGCAAGCCCACAAGTAACCAGAATAAAGACACAAATCATGTATCCACAATATTTAAAAGTTGGATTTATCTCCAGGATTGAGACAACTACTAGCTAGACATCGAAGCCTGAGTTAATCTTCTTAGGCTCCCCTTATAGTCATTTACATGGAAAGCATACCTACACAAGGCAGTTGATCTTATTTTAACATTTTATTGTATAGACTGTGTCACACAATTGTTCTCTGGAGGTACATTTTCCTTCTCGGTTGAAGGGAGGATGAAGATGAGATTCAGATATCTGTACTGGGGCAAATGAAAGCACTCTTACCTATTTTTTTTTTTTTTTTAATTTGAGAGAGTATCTATGTAAAAGGAAAATACTTAAAATTTGTATAGAACTATTTTTGATGTTTCTGCTGGCCTTCAACAGCATGTAGTCCATATATAGGAAATCTTGCTTTTCTATATAGGGTAATTCACACACAATTTGTCATTTTGAATAAATTATGTGTAGGTTTTTGATCTCACCTCATATTTAATCAACCCTCCAATGCTAAAAGATCATAATTAAGCTATTTTGT